CCAACCGATTAGGACTTTTTTTTTTTTTTTTTTTTTTTTAATTGTCAAGAAAGTGGAGGAAAAGAAGCCGGGTTGTCAGCGGAGATTCACAGATACCAGTTCCTGCTGATTTTACAGCCTCAGGGGTCAGATACAGTGCTGGGCACATCTCCATTGTTCCCTGTGCCTCGGGGCAGGCCCTTCCGATTCACCAGTTACAGAAGCCTGGGAAAGACTGTCGCTGAAGCACAGGGTGTGCAGGGCTTCTAGCACTCAGATCTGCAGTCTGGATCCAGGACAGCCGCGCATGCCCTCAGGCCAGGAAACCCCTGTGTGCTGGCCCCTCGGTTACAGGTTATGCTCCCGGGAAAGCAGCTACTCCTGGGACTCTGGCCTGCGGAGGGAAAAGGAGGAGATAAGCGGCAGGGCAGGCCCACTGGGGCCCTCAGCCATCCCTGCAGGAACTTCAGAAGCTGGGCTAACCCTTTATTTTTTTATTTTATTTTAAATATATTTATTGATATTTTACAAAGAGGAAGAGAGAGGGATAGAGAGTTAGAAACATCGATGAGAGAGAATCATGGATCAGCTGCCTCTTGCACACCCCCTACTGGGGATGCGCCCACAACCAAGGTATATGCCTCTGACTGGAATCGAACCCGGGACCTTTCAGTCCGCAAGCCGACACTCTATCCACTGAGCCAAACCAGTTTCGGTTGGGATAACCCTTTAGAGTTGTACCCAGTTGGGATGCGGGGCCAAGCCTCTATACCCCATGTCAGCCGGTCATTGCATGCAGGCTGCAGGCCATCCCGGGACGGGGTAAGGCAGCCCTCCATAGCTGAAGCCATCCCCAAAGGGGGCTGTCAGCTGAGGCTGGAGAGTAAGCTCTCCGTTCCTGCAGGGCAGTCTGGGTGGTCTGCCACAGGATCCGCCCCACCGCTGTCCTGTTTGCAGAAGGTCCTTGCAGCCCAGGGGCAGGGACAGTGCAGGCAGAGCGCTTTATTTAAGGCAGTCCAGCGGGCAGCATGAGCTTCATGCTTGCTTCATGTTTCCTTCATCCTGAAGTGTCCCGGGGTGATTCGGAGTGGGCCCAGGTGGCTACTGTGCACGCACTGTGTCTGTGCTACAACGGAGGGACCCTGAGCTTGGAAACCTGTAACCTTATAAAGGAGTGGCAAGCAAAGCCGCCCAGCCTTTGCCCCCAAAGGAGACACTATCTTTGTTGTCCCAGGCAGCAAGAAAATGTGCCCTCTGCCCCCAGAGGCTGACGCGGTCCCTGTCTTCCAAGGCTGCTATGTAAACGTCCTTGAAAAGATGGTGGGGAACGAAAGCTGTGACATAGAAACACCACTGAGAATTGCTCCCAGCATCTTTTGGAAGCAGAAGCTCATACTTTCTGGGTGACAGGGCAACCCGCACACATAGGTGTACCCAAGATTTCATTTACTACTAGAGGCCCAGTGCACGAAATTGTGCAGGAGGGAGAAGGGCGGGTTCCTCAGCCTGGCCTGAACCCTCTCGCAATCCAGGACCCCTGGGACATTTCTCCCGCAATATGGGGCCGCTGGCTCCTAACTGCTCACCTGCCTGATCGCCCCTAATCATTCTGCCTGCCTGCCTGTTCGCCCCTAACAACTCTCCTGCCTGCCTGCTTGATCGCCCCTAACCACTCTGCCTGATCGCCCCTAATCACTCCGCCTGACTATCTGATCACCCCTAACCACTCGCCTGCCTGCATGATCACCCCTAACAACTCTCCTGCCTGCCTGCTTGATCGCCCCTAACCACTCTGCCTGCCTGCCTGATCGCCCCTAACAACTCTCCTGCCTGCCTGCCTGATCACCCCTAACCACTCTGCCTGCCTGCCTGATCACCCCTAACAACTCTCCTGCCTGCCTGCCTGATCGCCCCTAACCACTCTGCCTGCCTGCCTGATCGCCCCTAATCACTCTGCCTGACTATCTGATCACCCCTAACCACTCGCCTGCCTGCCTGATCACCCCTAACCGCCTTTGCCTGCCTCCCTGATTGCCCCTAACCACCTCTGCCTTGGCCCCCACCGCTGCAACTTCGTCCAGAAGGACGTCCAGAATGACATCCAGGAGGCCGTTCGGCTGTCCAGTCTAATTAGCATATTATGCTTTTATTATAATAGATTGTGTGTCCTTGTGTTTAACAGACAGCTTAGTGCAGTAGAAAGATCCTACATTGAGATAAAGGAGCTTTGGGTTCTGACCTCATTCTGCCTCTCCCTTACCATCTGACCTTCGTGTGACCTTGATCAGCACTGCTCCTTTCTGAACCTCTGTTTCTTCATCTGTGAAGTGGGGACAACATCTGTCCTGCCTACTTTTAAGCTGCCGGTTGTGAGGCTGAAGGAGCAGCCTTCACTGTCGTGGCTTTCTTATATAACAGCAGGTAGGTCTGAAGGTCATTGCCAGGGTTGGTTCAGTGGTTCCGTGCCATGACTCCTGCAGTTCTCCAGATCAGCAGTGGGCAATGGGGACCTCATGAGAGCCACCTAGGCCGTCTAAAAATTCCCAGTAGTCTCATTTTTTTTTTTTAAGAAAAATGTATAAAGAAATAAATGACAACTTTTAATAATATTTTATTTAATCCAATAAGTCCAAAATATTGTCATTTCAACATGTAATCATTAAGAAGAAGTGCTAATGTGATATTTTGCTCCTTTTTTGTCTGGAGCCTTTGAAATCTGGTGTGTGCTGAAAGTACCAGCTACATCTCAAGTGTGCACAAGCCCAGATGGCTGTGGCTCCCGTATGGGCTCCTGCAGCTCTAGACGTGGCCCAGATGGTGGCAGGGAGTCTGCAGCTCCAGACATCGTGTGCCCCCCCCCCCCCCCCCCCCAGTGCATTCACTGGGCAGAGTCTCTCCTCTCCTCACACCCTTCTCAACTCCCCAACAGACTGCGCCTTGGTCACGTGGTCAGCCGTGGTTGTAGGAAAGGCTTTTGCAGGGTCTGGCTCTCTCATCCTCTCTAGGATACAAGGAAGCAGGTAGCTGGGGAAAGCTAAGGAAACGAGCCTGCACCTGCCTCATTACAGGTAGCAAATATCTGTGTACGGCCACTCCCCTTGGCCTGGGCATGGCCAGACACTAATAGCTCGTGGCACTCTTTATTCTAAAGCCAAGGGTAACCTCAGAGTCCTTCTCAACACAGGCCACAAGCAGTGACGAGCCCCTGACTGTTGGCATAAGGGACCTATGTGCGGACTGCATTGTGAATTCCTGGAGAGCAGAGAGCAGGGTGACGGCCTGCTTTCTCTCTGCGCCTCCAGAGTGCTGTGCTGCGGTGGAAATTCGAAAAGTAACAGTGTGCAACAGTATGCAGTGCTTTCTCTCTGGGCTTAGCTGAATGTTGCGATTTCTGATTTCTTCCCTGGAGAGGAAATGGAGGCCTCCCCACTTCCTCTGTGTGCACAGACAGAGCGGCTCTGGCTGCACCAACAGTAGGTCCTTATTGCACAGTCAGTTACTTGACTTTGGAGCTGGTTAAGCCAAAGGAAGCAGGAACGGGACTGGCTGGAACTAGCAGGGCTTGTGAGTCCCAAGGAAACTGGCCCTTCGGTCTGAAGCGCTGCTTGTCGGTAAGATGGTGTGTGCTTGTATGGAGTGTGCCATTTCTCAGACGGGCTTGTGAAATCACAGGAGAAAACGACTTAAAAAAAAATGAATAAAGGGTAAGAATTGGGGGTTTATTTCTTTGTGGTCCTTTTTCCCTGGTTGGTTTTTAAGTTTGGGTTTATTATACAGCATATTGTACACATAATTATATATATTATTATATAGCATACTGTACACATAATTATATAGTTTAGAGGGAAAGGAAGGGAGAAGGCAGGGAGGCTGATACTCTTTTCTGGGTGCTTGTGTGAACTGCCGCATGCCCACTATATGGCCTCCCATTGAAGAGGGATGCCTGTGGCCACTGTGCCAGCAGGTGTGTTTCTCCAGCGTGCCCTCTGGAGAGCGGGCGTGTGGCCCAGGCTAGTCGTATGCCTCTGAATGTTCCGTGGTGTCTAAGAAGACCTTTGGGGGGCCGGTCACCCTACATGCAGGACTATTTCCTTAGAGGAGCTTTGCAGAAGCAGACTCACTGGGTCAAAGGCTACGGGCATTTTCACGCTCCTTGATACAGGCGTCAAGTCAAGTTGATTCCCAAAAAGCAACTTCCACCAGCTGTACAAGGAGACAGCCATGTCCTGGTCTCTTCTCCAGAATTTGTGTTTTTTTTAAATTTTGTAGATTTGATAACAAAAAATCGGCTTCTTGTCATAATTTGCCTTTAAAAACATTTTGAACTCTCGGTTTGAGAAGCAGTAGCATTTCCTTTTCTTTTTCTTTTTCTTTTTCTTTTTCTTTTTCTTTTTTGGCTTGACACTTCCTTTCTTTTGCCCAGCAAGAAAATTAAGTGGCCAGTAAATGGGAGGTAAAGATTTTAAATTTCACGTCGCAAAGAGCTGGGAGAGGCCACCCCCTTTTCCTTCTAAACCGCTCTTTCTGCCCATGCAGGTCTATGCTGGCCTCCTGCCACGGTATGCCCAGCTGGAGCAGAGAATCCTGTCCCGGCCCCAGGAGCTCCTGGAGTGAGTCCTGTGGACCCTGCCTGCTCAGACTCGCTGACCCACCGGGAGACGTGGCCCTGGACAGCAGGCACCCTCTTCTCTGTTCTGGGTGCCTGACACCTGGCTCCTGACGTGTCCGGGACCACCTGGACCTGCCTCACACACCTTCCTGAGCATAAACGGGCTCCTGTGTTCCTGTGTGCTGTGCTCAGGCAGGAGAGCATCTCTTTCCCATTTCAGGAGGCGGATGACACGGAACCTGGGATATCCCCCAAAAAGAAGGACATTTTCCTTTCCTTTTTTTTTTTTTTTTTTAACTATATTTTTTATTGATTTTGATAAAGAAGGGAGAGGGAGAGAGAGAAACACCAACGATGAGAGAGAATCATCGATCGGCTGCCTCCTGCACGCCTCCCACTGGGGATCGAGCCCACAACTGCAACCTGGGCATATGCCCTGACCGGGAATAGAACTGTGACCTCCTGGATCATAGGTCCACGCTCAGCCTCTGAGCCACAATCAGCTGGGCTGACATTTTCCTTTTCAAAGGCAGAAATAAATCTAATCCAAGGAACTAAGTCAGCAAAATAGGGAAGAGAATTCCGTCCCACATATCGTGCGTGACCCCAGCCCATCCCTTCTTCAGTCCCGACTTTCTGGCCACTTGGAAAATTGTCTCAGAATGACCAACCAAGAAATATCCTAGCTAACTACTGCACGTTCAAGGTGAAGAAGGGGAGAGGGGGAGCTCTCTAGACCAAAAGACCTAGTTTTTTACAAGAAAAGATCAAGGTTGGTATCAGACTTCTCAAAAGAGTCAGCAGCAGTGGAGCAACATTTTCGAGAAACTCAAACTAAAAATATGAACTAAGTGTTTAATACCGACTAAGCTGCCCAAGCATCGAGGATAATTTTTAAAAGGTTTTAATCATGCACAAGCTCAGGAAGTAACGCCTTAGGATTCTACTAAAAGACAAGCTTCCTCCAACCAGGAGATGACTGGTGAAACGGAAGCACAAGGACTGGCAGTGATCATTGCATATCTTTAATTTGGGATAAAAGACCAAAATGGACGTGGGGATAAGGGTGGAAGAATAGTATCCAGTGGTATATGCTTTGACAAGGTAGAAGTAACACAATAAATAAATGGAAAAGGAGAGAGGGAGAGGACAGTACGAAGAGCTCTTGGTTGCAAAGGCAATTTGGGTGAGTCACTATCATTTAAAGCTGACAAGACAAATAGTTGAGGCTTCAATGAGGAAAAAGGGACACGGAGAATTATATAAAAGCAATAGTGTGTGGTATTAAAGGTAATCAGCCGGAACCGGTTTGGCTCAGTGGATAGAGCGTCGGCCTGCAGACTGTAAGGTCCCAGGTTTGATTCCAGTCAAGGGCATGTACCTTGGTTGCGGGTACATCCCCAGTGGAGGGTATGCAAGAGGCAGCTGATCGATGCTTCTCATCGATGTTTCTAACTCTCCCTCTCTCCTCCTCTCTGTAAAAAATCAATAAAATATATTTAAAAAATAATAATAAAATAAAGGTAATCAGTAGGACAAAAATAGGCATCTCCTTCAATGCCCTCACAAATAGTAATACAGGGGACAGAGCACATAGTCATAAAGATCTCACATTAACAAACAGGAAAAAATAGAATTAATAAGTAAACAGTATTTTGAGTATTTGAAAAAAAAATCAAAATACGTAAACTACTAGCTAATAAAAAGGGGAGAAAGCAGTAACACAAAATAAAAAGTGAAAAATTAATGTTGAAACAATGTCTTTTTAATTTTAAGGACTACTTCACACAACTCTGCAAATAAATTTGAAAATCTAGAAGAAATGGTAAACACCTAGGAAAATGCAAAATTTACTAAAATGACTTCAGTAGTGACAGAAAGTTTAAGCAGACTAATTTTCATAAAAGGAACAAATGATTGTAAAAGAACTACCCTATCAAAAAGGCACTAGGTTAGCCGAAACTGGTTTGGCTCAGTGGATAGAACATTGGTCTGTGGACTGAAGGGTCCCGGGTTTGATTCTGGTCAAGAGCATGTACCTTGGTTGTGGACACATCCCCAGTAGGAGGTGTGCAAAAGGCAGCTGATCGATGATTCTCTCTCATCGATGTTTCTAACTCTCTATCCCTCTTCCTCTCAGTAAAAAAATCAATAAAGTAATAAAAAAAAAAAAGGCACTAGGTTAGGTGGGGGTCACAGGGGAATTTGACTAAACTTTCATAGACTAGTTAATCCCTATGCTTCAGAATGTATCCCAGAACCCTAGAAAAGGAAAAAGAACTCTTCCAGATTATTTTCATGAAGCGAATATAACATTGATCTCTGTACTAAGTTGCAAATGCCCCAATTCCTCACTTCCCTCTGTAGCCATGTGTTTTGCTATGGGATCTTGTTACGCTCTCCAATGGGATTTTCACAAGCATAATGTAAGCCAGGGCTTGAAAAGCCCTTGTGCAATTGGGATTGCCCTCACCCTGCGCTCTGCCTTTTTCACGAAAGTCCTGTGTCTACGCTAGCCAGACCAAACCCATCCTGAATCAGCCATGGGGTGACTGACTGCCCCCGACATGTGAGTCCATATGAGACCAGAAGAACTGCCCAGCAAGCACAATGTAAATCACCAGCCTACAGATGAATGAGCTAAATAAATATGACATTAAATCGAGATTACAGTGGTTTATTACACAGCAACAGATAGCTGATATCACAATGGGTGCCAACACAAAAAGGAAATATATGTGACATTGAAACTGTGCTGTGGTGAAGAGGAAAAATGGTGGAAAAAATCCTATAGGAGGCAGGAAAAAAAAAAAAGGTAACTGTGAGTACCCATGGTAACGTGGGAGATAGGAAGTTGACCTACTGGACATTTGGGCTTGAGAAAAATTTCTAAGCAGAATGTTGAAAATGTCAAACTAGCCAGATTTAAAGTAGAATTTAGAGGGGATGTAAAGATGCTAGGATGAAGAAAATAACTTTCTCATCTTTGCCCCTTTAAACCAAAAGAGATGATAAGATGTGGCTTCCAGAAAAATCAAGTGCTGAAAGATACTTTGCCGGGACCTCTGAAAGAATCAAGGCACTGTCTTAGAACCTTTCTAGCTGATTAAAGTGACTTTCAGGAATCATAAATTCTTGTCTCACACCATCCTCTTATACCTAAAGTATTAGGGGTTAAGTTGAGAGAGGGGTGGGGGAGGGTAGGGAGAGAGATGAGATCTCAACAATAATTGTGGGTATGGCTTTTGGTGCACAGAGCAAGTTCAAATCAGACACAGAAAATCACAGAACATAAAAGTGATGTCAATCTAGACAAGAAGGGACCAAGTGTAAAAAGATTTGGGCCCCCAAATGGGCAGGAAACAGGCTGAGGATGCTGCTCTAAAGGCATATGTCCCAATGCCCTCTTTAGCGACACTCAAGGAGGGCAATGCAAGGCGAAAGCTGTAGTGGGTGAAGCCAAGAACCACGGGGCACAGTGGACGCCACCTTCAGTGTGGCAGATGAACTAATAGGGCCTGCATGGTCCCTGCCTTCTGGCATTCACACCCTGGTGTAATTCCCTCGAGTGTGAGCAGGACCTGTAACTTGCCTGCAATAAGTAGAACATGACAAAGGTGATGGCATGCCATTTCTGTAATTCTATTATATATAAGACCATTACACCCATCTTCTAGCAGACAGGAGTATTCCGCAGCGGCAGTGGAGGGGCTGTAGGCAGAAACAACCTTAATGTATCTGAAGACAGAAAACAGCCATGTGTTCTAAATGATAATGGTGAGATGGGAGAGGGAAAAGGGTCAATTCTATAGAGCTTTGTTAGCCATCATAACGAGAAGCCATAGGAGGATTTTAAGCAAGAAGTAATGTAAGTTCCACTTTTAAAATTGGTATTATTGATTTGGGAGAGAGAAACACACACACACACACACACACACACACATCTGTTTATTCCACTTATCCATGCATTTATTGGTTAATTCTTGTATGTACCCTGACCAGGGATCGAACCCTCAACACTGGCATATCAGGATGACACTCTGACCAACTGAGTTACTGGCCAGGGCATGAGTTCCAATTTTAATAGATCATTACAGTTGCTATAATGAAGATGTCTTATAGCCAGGCAACTGAGTGGGAACAGGTGACCAGTGATCCATTTCAGTTCACAGCTTTTGCCGAGATCCCAGCTGCCAGGTGTTGGGTGTGGATGGTATACAGTTCTATGTGGCTGGACCATGGAAGCCAACCTGCTGATGGACTGAACAGGAGAGGAATCAAGAATGATTTGCAAAGTTTTGAGAAATTGGTTATGCTGTTGAGTTAAATAGGGACAAAGTGGGAGAAGTGGACTGATGGGGGAAATGAAGACTGCTGCTTCGGCTAGGTGAAGCTCAGGATGCCTGAGGGGCTGCCAAATGGATATGTCAAGTATTTTCCAGGGTATAAGACGACTTTTGAAACGAAAAAAAGTCAACCGAAAATCGGGGGCAAAAGACTAAAATTGCACAAAAATTACCTGCAGATCTTGACGGCAAAGTAAGTCTTTTCTTTGAAGTGGGGGGTAGTCTTATACAGCGAATATAGGCCTAAACCTACGTTTTAACTGTAAAATCAGGGGGTCGTCTTATACGCCGAAAAATATGGTATACGAATTTGGAGATCCCAGAGACATCAGGCTGGAAGACAGAGATGCGCTGTCAGCCTGCACCACCAGGAGTTCTTACTGTGATACTCTACCTGGTGTGGAATAGAAAAGAGGAACCAGCCAATGTAATCATTGGCAAAAGGATTATAGTTGACTAGTGGCTTGGTGCACAAAATTCGTGCACATTTAAAAGGAATTAATTAGAGGAAATATTTTAATATTGCTATTTGCCCTTTATAATAGAAGTGTCAGAGATGAAAGAAAATTAGTAAAATGTATATGAAAATAACAAATTTATTAAATAAACAGTAACAGCATCACACCCCACAGCCAGTGCTGGGTGAGGGACACAGCCTCACATCCCGTGGCCTTGCCACCAGGTATGCAGCCTCCTGCTGATTAGTCGTTATGGCAGGAGGGCATCACAACCATTTGCATATTAGCCTTTTATTATATAGGATTGCTTCCAGTAGACGCAATGATTTATCTTCCCTAAAAAAGACTTTACAGCAGGTCCTTAGATAACATCATTTTGTTCAGTGTCATTTTGTTAGAATGCTGATATGAAAAAAAAGTTTGATTCCGCCGAAACTGGTTTGGCTCAGTGGTAGAGCATCGGTCTGCGGACTGAAAGGTCCCAGGTTCAATTCCGGTCAAGGGCATGTACATTGGTTGCGGGCACATCCCTGGTAGGGGGTGTGCAAGAGGCAGCTGGTCGATGTTTCTCTCTCATCTCTATCTCTCTCCCTTCCTCTCTGTAAGAAAAATCAATAAAATATATTTAAAAAAAAAGTTTGATTCCCAGCAGGGGCCACGGTTTGTGTGAAGTTTGCATGTTCTCCCCTTGTCTTTATGGGTTTTCTCTGAGTACTCCGGTTTCCTCCCGCACCCCAAAGATGTACACCTTAGGATGGATTGGAGTCTCCACACTGTCCCAGTCTGAGTTGGAGGTGTGTGAGTGGAATGGAAGGGTGTTTGTCCAAGGCTGGTTTCCACCATGTGCCATGAGCTGCTGGCCACCTGTGACCCTGAACTGGAGCAAGCAGGTAGGAAAATAATCTTACTTGTTTTGGTTAATCTTTCTTAAATGTATGTATAGCTCACATTACTTCAAATTGTAATATTAGAAATGCTTTGGGGGGGGGGGTTTATTGAAAAGCTTTGGTGATGTTTTTGTGACCAGAAATATACCACAGGAACTGAGCTCTTGTGCTTATCAATTAGCCTACGGTAAAACTGGCTCCGTTATGCCTTGTTTTGCTTTAAATCCCTGTTTCCAAGAACCTTTCTCTGGTGTTAAGTGAGGACTTCCAGGATTCAGGATATGCAGTTGCTTCCCCGCTGTCTGTCAGCACAGCCTCCCAGGGGATCACCAAATCCCTCATGCTCTGCTTCCTTGCTTATCTACAGTCGCATTCATTTCTGCCTTAAAAGCTGTCATTGCAACATAGAATTTTCCAGGACTGGAAGGGACGTTTAGTGACCTAGAAATCTTTCTGGGTGGTGACTCTAAAGTGTGGACCCACGCCGTTTGGAACCCGGAGGTGGTGGACCCTCATCCCGACTTCATTAAGGTGATATGCTTTGACATAAGATTGTGCCTGAGTAAGGTTTCGGCTGTGTAAAAACTGCAAAGCACAGGTGAGGAGGCAGTCTCACCTCTTCAGGTTCTGGAGAAGGAAACAGGATGGGAGAAGTGACATACGGCAGGCTTCCCGGCCCCGCCTCCCTCCCGGCTGCTTTAGCCCTGCTCCTGCGCTAACAAAGGCCGCGAGGAGTCAGGAGAAAGAGGGAGGACAATTTCTGTATCCAAGCGTCCTCACCCCTTCCCTGAGCTGTGCCGAGCTTTCCCTCTTTCGCTGGGAGCCACCACGTCGTGACCCGCCGAGCTCCGGTGGTGTGATGAGGAGGGCGGGATCTGAGATAGGGTACCACCGGCCCAGGGAGGAACCTGGGGGAGGCGAAGAGGGCAGTGAAGCCGGTCTCCAGAGATCTCCAGCTGCGAGACAGGAGGCACCTGTCAACAGCTCCACTGGTGCGGCCTGGAGCGCGGGAGATAGGGTTAAGGGTGCGGAGGCAAGTTGCAAAGGCCCTTTTCGGTCCGCTGCTGCTCTGCCTGCGGGGCTCCGCGCCTTCCCTCACTTGCGAGGGTCCAGCCCTAGGATTCCCCAGCTGTGCCTGTGTGTGTGTGTGTGTGTGTGTGTGTGTGTGTGCGCGTGTGTGTGTGGTGGTGGTGTTGGTGGTGGAGGGTCCTGGGGTGCAGACGTGGGTGCCCACTCTCATTTCAAAGAAGACAGCCTTATTCTGCCGATGAGTTCGCACGACTCTCCTAGGGTTCACCGTGAGTCTCCTTATTCAGGGCGTAACCAGGCCCAGAGGGGAAGCCGGGCCAGAGGTCGGGGCTTCCCACCCATTGCGGGTCCCAGGGCGGCGTGCGCTCCGAGGCCCGGGCTGCAGCGCGCGGAGCAGGAATCCCACGTGCGGCGGCCGGAGGTCCCGCGGTCCCCGGGCCAAGCGGCTCCGGGTCCAACCCCGTCCCCTCCGCACGCGCCCGCCCCGCCCCGCCCGGCGCTCGGGTGCGAGGGGCGGGGATGTGTGTGTGCGGGGAGGGGTTCCTGGGCCGGAGGCGGGGCCTCTTTGTTGTTGTTTCTCGGGGCCCCGCCCCTAAGGGGGGCGCCGACCACGCGGCCCGAAGACCCGTCCCCCTCCCCTCCCCCTCCCCGCCCGGCTCGCCGCCTCTTTGTATCCAACATCCGGGTTTCCCCGCTGGCTCGTCTCCGCGGCCGCGGCTCGGGAGCCATTTTGGACGCGGTTCAGCTCCCCTCCCCCCGCCCCTCCCCCCCGTCCATGGCCCCTCCGGACTCGGCCCCTGCGCCCGGGGCCCGGGCCCAGCCCCGCCACGCCATGCCCGCGCCCGGCGCCCCCCGGCCCGCGCCCCGCCGCCGCCCCCCGGCCCCCGCGTCGCCCTCCCGGAGTCCGGGCCGCAGCCCGCGCCGCCCGCAGCGGCCCTGAGCCCGGCGCGCCGCCCGGCCCTCGGAGCCCGCCCGCCGCGCGGGACCAGGCGCAGGAGCCTCCGGGGCTGCGAGGCCGCCGCCGGGAGCGGGAGCGGAGCGCGGCCGCCGCCGCCGGCCCGTGCGCCCCGGGAGCGCCGCGCCGCCCTGCCCGCGGCTCCGGGCGTCCGCGGGGCGGCGCCGCGGAACATGACGGCGCCCTGGGCGGCCCTCGCCCTCCTCTGGGGATCGCTGTGCGCGGGTGAGAGCGGGCGCGGGGGCGCGGGGCGCGGGGAGGGCGCGCCGTGTTTACCAACAAAGGGCGGCCGCGGCCTTCTCGCCGCGCCACCTGCACCGGGGCGGGGACTCGGGGCGCGCCGCGCACCCCGCTAGCTGGTGTTGGGGGGACCGTGTTCTCTGTGCGGTGGGTGGGAGCCGAGATCCGGAGCCAAGGGTCGGGGTCCGGGCTCCGCCGCGTGGGGAGCCTCGGGAGAGGAACACCGGAGCTTGGGAAGGGGGCCAAGCGGGACGGGCAGATCCGATCTGAGGTGGCGGGGCTGCGGGTGCAGCGGCGGCTGTGGGAAGGGCCACGCGACCCTCGGGGCCGCTGGGCGCAGCGAACGGGGTTGCCGGGCACAGCTCGGAGCCCCCTGCACCCCATCCCGCCCCAAAGGCGGGCCTCCGGCGCCGGCTCCCACCTGCGCGAAGCGCAGCCACCCCGCGGGACCGCTTTGTTTTGGGCGCCGGGGAGGAAGGGGAGGAGAAGGGAGGGGAGCGGAGGGGAGGAGGGGCGCGAAGGAAAACCAACAGGTCCCCGTTCCTTCTGGCCTCGAGGCAGCACGTGGCGGGGGTGGGTGCCCCGCGCGGCCAGTTTGACTTGCGCGCGTGTGGCCGAAAGGGTGCGGGTTCTACTGGGAAAGCGATGGCACCGATTTCCCTCCGTTTAGCGCCGCCGGGGCTCGCCCGAGCTGGCTGTGCGCGCAGGCCCGGCTCCGCGCTCGGGGGAGCCCCGGGAAGCGTGAGGCGTGCAGACGTGGGCGCATTGGAGCTCCGGGGAGCAGCTCGGGCCGTCGGGCGGCCGATGGGCCGCTGGCGGGGCGCCGGGCCCCGGCGCCTTTGTTCCCAGCCCCCATTGCACACGCCGCGCGGGCCCCTGGCCGCCGCGGTGGCCGCAGCGCGGAGCCTGGGAAACCCGCGGGGGGCGGGGCCGGGCGCAGGGGCGGGGCCGGGCACCCCGCGCCGCTGCGGGGGCGGGGTACGGGATCCCCGGCCCACCCTCCCTCTCTGTCAGACTCTCTTGGCTCTGCTTGTCTTGGCTGTTTGCCTCAGAGCGAGTGCTCTTTGCCGGGCTTGGTGCTCCGGAGCCGGAGTGTAGACCCGAGGAAAGGGACCTCCTCGTTGGTATTCGGGCACTCTTCTCCTCCTCCTCCTCCTCCTCCTCCTCCTCCTTCTTCTTCTATATATATATATATATATATATATATATATATATATATATATATATATATATATATATTTATTTATTATTGAATTTTTACAATAAAGAGAGGGGAAGAGAGAGGGATAGAGAGTTAGAAACATCGATGAGAGAATCATCGATAAGCCGCCTTCTGCACACCCCCTACTGGGGATGTGCCTGCAACCAAGGTACATGCCCTTGACCGGAATCGAACCCGGGACCCTTCAGTCCGCAGGCCGACACTATATCCACTGAGCCAAACAAGTTTCGGCCTGGGCACTCTTCTCGAGGGGAGCATCATGGCTCTTTTGGAGCAGCTTCCTGTGTGGTGGAGGCAAAGTGTTGCTGTTGAACTTGTCCCCCTTTCTGCCCCTGCTCCCTTGTAAGTGCTGCCCTGAGATGCTTTTTCCCAAGAAAAGGAAGGCATTATTGGCCTGCAGAGGGGAGAGTGGCAGCCAGCCGACGTAATAGGCACCAACAGCTGAAAACCGGTTTGGCTTAGTGGATAGAGCGTTGGCCTGCGGACTGTAAGGTCCCGGTCCCAGGTTCGATTCCGGTCAAGGGCATGTACCTTGGTTGCGGGCACATCCCCAGGAGGGGGTGTGCAGGAGGCAGCTGATCGATGATTCTCTCTCATCAATGTTTCTAACTCTATCCTTCTCTCTTCCTCTCTGTAAAAAATCAATAAAATTTAATAAATAAATAAAATATTGGGGTATTTAAAAAATAGGCACAAACAGCTCACCTGTCTATATATATTTTTTTAAATATATATATATTTTATTTTTAAAATATATATATATATATTTTATTTATTTTTTACAGAGAGGAAGGGAGAGGGATAGGGAGTTAGAAACATCAATGAGAGAGAAACATTGATCAGCTGCTTCCTGCACACTCCCCACTGGGGATGTGCCTGCAACTAAGGCACATGCCTCTGACCAGAATCGAACCTGGGACCTCCAAGTCCGCAGGCTGACACTCTGTCCACTGAGCAAGACCTGGAAGTCCCCTGGCCTCTGTGGTGCACTACTTCCGGGGTCTTTTTGGGCATGGAGATCCCCTTCCCCTGGCATCTCACCTAAGGAACTCCCTTTTCAGGGACACCCAGGAAGAGGGCCTCGGGCTGCACCCTGGTCCTTTGCACCATGGGCTCCTCTGGGCATCTGATGGGAGGCGTAGACCCTTTCCCCAGGAAAATACTCGTGTGTATATAGGTGCGTACGCATGCATCCAAACATACATGCACCTCGCTGTTTTGCACCGATGCTGGGAAACTTTGGCTCCCTGGGTTGAACTCGGTAAAGTCCTGGCTGCCCAGCACATACCCCTTGTACCAGTCCTGAGGGGCAGCGTGCTGTCCTTGGGGGATACTGGACTGGTCCCCACCTTGCTGCTTCGATTTACCCTGTTCTGGCCACTGGACTTTTGCTTTTTGTTCAGACTCTGCCCAATGTGCAGATTCCAGCCCCAGCCTTCTCCCTTCTCGCTGCTCTCCTCCTCCTCCTCCTCCTCCTCCTCCTCCTCCTCCTCCTCCTCCAGGAAGCCCTCCCCTAAGTGCCAATACATTTAGCTTCCTGCCTGGGAGCTCAGGGTAGTGCAAGTGGGAACCACAGGGCCTCAGGGTGGAGTTCAGATCCACTTGCAGTTCCTGGCCTGTCACCATAGCCTGGGACGTCTGGATGATGCTTATGCTGTGGGTAGACGGCCCTCAGGCAGGGTCCTGGCTGGGTGGGCCTCATTCTGGGACAGGGTTTCTCAGCCCTGACACTGTTGACATTTGAAGCTGATGACACTTCGGTGTGCATGGGGAGAGGGCTGCTCTCTGTGCAGCACCCCGGCCTCTACCAGTAACTGTTAGCAGCGCTTCCAGTTAGTGACAGCGGGAAATGCCTCCAGGCATGGCCAAGGGTCTGGGCAGAGGGGGGTGCCAAACCGCCTCAGGCTGAGACCCCGATCTAGAATGTCCTCATGCTTTTAAAGAGACCCTTTTGGGAGATGGGGCTCCTGGCTCATGCCTCCCCAGCCCCGCCCCATTGGATTCAGGCTAGGAGATTTGTGCCTCGCTAAACCTGCTCAGCGTGGGAGAGTCTGGTTCTGGAGCACCGCCGGCCGCCGGAGAGAATCCTGGCGTCCTTGAGTTTTCCCAGAAGTGGTTCGGGTTTCAGGGAGGCGGTGGTTGTGGGTGGCCGGGCAGCCTGCCCGCCCGCACCCGCCCACCCGCCTCTGACGGCCACCTTGAGGTTTGCACTCGTGCCTCTCCCTCCCGCGCGCACAGAATGTCAGCCAGGGCCCGTGGCCGGGGCCCGGGAGCCGCCCGCGCGGAGGCCGTGCGCGTGGGCCCCGAGGAGCGCCGGGGGCTGTAGCCGGCCGCTGGCATGCCCGCGGCCTGGCGCCCCGATGAGCCGAGGCGGCTGTGGGCCTGGAGCTCCAAGCCGGGGGACGCCCGGGCCTGGGCCCAGCCTCCCCCTAAAGGTACGGGTACAGGTCTCGTCCCTGGCCTCGGGGAGGTGGGTGGAGGGCAGGGCCAGGCCTCCTCCTCTGGCCCCGGGAGGTGCGGATAGAGCTGCCCCTGACAGGTGCCCGCCCAGGGGTGAGGGCGCCTGTGTGTTGGGCTTGGCAGCTGGCAGCCCCTGCTTGCTTTCTGCTCTTCCCCGCCCTGCTCCTGGCTTTGCCGGGAAGGGCTTTCTGGGGGGCCCTGCTGTGGTCTCAGCAAGACACAGCTCGCTGCCGTGGGAGCTGCTCTGGGCTGGGGGTGGTCTCGGGTGGAGGAAGCAGCCTCAGAGGCCTCAGTCTCCAGGTGCTCCGCATCCCCGGGGTGGGAAGGGCTTACGTAAAAGGGTTGTCTGCTGGGCTGCACTTCCTCGTTCCATCTCTTTTGGGGTGTTTCCAAAGGAGCCTGGCTGCCTCAGAATTTTATAATCTTCTATTTCTTCCCTCTCACTCTTATCACCAATTCTTCAAGAATAGACACCACCACCCCCTCCCCCCCGCCCCCGGGTGTAGGGCTTCCTTTTTGGCCTTTTGGTTTGTCTTTGTCTGCCAGACTCACCAGGGCATCCCAGCCTGAGTCTGGGTGCTTGTTCCTTGAGGTCCTGGTGGTGCCACTTCAGGGTTGTGGGGTAGGGGTGGAGGTGGGGATGAGGATGGGGGTGGGGATGGGGATGGGGGAGGGGGTGGGAGAGAGGAGAGGCTGCTGCCTCCTGAGTCTTGGCTTTGTAAGTTTCTCAGTGATATCTTTGTGTGAGACAATGGTGGGAACTTGAAATCAACTGATGGCTTAGGCTGGTGCTGTTGGGGACCACCCATGCCTCTCCCTGACCCCAGATGAATCATGCTTCTCCCTTTAGCCACGTGCTTTGTGCCCTGGTTATGCCAGTCTTGCTCTGCACAGATAAGTGCCTTTCCCAGACCCTCCCAGGGGCTGGCGGCCCTCCACATGGGTGTTTTCATTCATGTGCACGCGGCCGCTGGGAGCTGGCGCGGGGACGGAGCCTGCTCCGTGGGGCAGCGGACCTCCCCCAGGGGCCGGGCCTGCCGTGCGGCGGGTCCCCTCTCAGGCCGGTTTCCAGGCGGGGGGTGAGATGTTCTGTGAGGTGAGCTCACGCTCTTGTGTGCAAACGTTCCCCTGCCCACGATTTCAGTTCCACTCTGACAAGCCGGGAGGCTAAAATTAGTTCTGGGGAAGGAAAAGGAAGGCTGGCTGGAAACCCAAGCCCTTGGCTGGCGGAGGGAGGAGGCCGCTTCCCGGGTCTTGCGGCCGAGCATTGCAGAAGATGTGATCAGGCCAGCTGTCGTCTGTC